CGCACACACAGTGATTGGATCCTTATACAAAGACACTCTCATTAGCGAATCCGTGGCTGTTAGTTAAAAGTAGGTTAAGAGAGAGTTTTCCACCATGAAAGTGTGCGTCTGGGGGTTTGTTTGCAGCAGATTTTATGATGATTTTGATTTTTCGAGTACTCTATATTATAGATGGCGCATTAAAAAAAGCCTGTGTGGGTGTGCGAGAGGGTTTGGCGTCCAGCGTTTGTGCTCTAATCCGTCCATTTTTCCCCAGTATGCAGACTTACTTTAACAGACACGCACACACATACTGCGTAACTGAGCCTCTGGTTGCCATGACGATGAGATCCGAAGTCTGTAGATGTTAAGACTCTTTCTGCCGATGGGACTTTGCCCACCTCGAGCAATGAAACCCCATTCAGGTGGCACCAGTAGACCTTATTCAGTAGTCATTTTTCTATATATAATATATTTTATATATATATATATATATATATATATATATATATATATATATATATATATATATATATATATATATATATATATATATATATACTGTATATACTGTATATATACTGTATATACTGTATATACTGTATATAATATAATATATATAAGTAAGCCCCTTTAAAGCTAATTTTTTTTTTCGATAATCTACAGAACCAACCATGGTTTTATAATAACTTGACAAATTACCCTAACCTGCATAGCTAACCTTATTAACCTAATTAAGCCTTTAAATGTCACTTTAAGTCTGTTTTCTTAAAATAATGTTTTTTTGTTTTTTTTTTTCTGCAGTGAGCCATAAATCTCACATCCTACAAATCATATCTGTATTCTGAAGGTTTTTTACAGAGTTATATTTGTTTCAGATGTTTTTGTTTTGTTTGTTTTGTAATCAAGATGCCGTACTTTTTGATAGGTCCTCAGAGAGTGTGTGTTTTGTCACTTGTTGTTGTATTGGCATTGTGTTGTTGTCATTGTCAATGTATTGCCGTTAAGTTGTTTTGGTGTTGCAATCAACATTAACATTTAATATAACAATAATAATAATAATAATAATAATAATAATAATAATAATAATAATAATAATTATTATTATTATTATTATTATTATTATTATTATTATTATATTTGATTCTTTTATTGATTATTCTTTAGATTAGTCCCTTATTTGTCAGGGGTCACCACAGCAGAATGAACCGCCAACTTTTCCAGCATATGTTTTACACAGTGGATGCCCTTCCAGGCGCAACTCAGTACTGGGAAATATTTAATTTTATTTTAATTTTTCTAATATTATGCATCTTAGGGTGCTTTCACACCTAGACTTAGGTGCGTTTTCCCAGTACGGTTCGTTTGGTATATGTGAATCCAGCAATCGCGTTTGGATCCGCGCCAAAGTAATCGGTCTGAGATTGTCTGAATGAGGTAGTCTCTGCTCGATTGAAACGAACTCTGGAGCGGATCGATAGTAGTGAGAAAGCAAAACGATCCAAGCCCGGCCAAGTTACATCACAGTGTATTATGTATATGTAATAGGTGTATATATACATCTATATGAACAGAGAATTAGAGCAGGGCGGGATATCATTCATCTGCGTTTCATCTCAAATACGAAAGCGAAAGCATTCTAACTATTAACGAGAGCTGATTATTTATTAGGAAAATTGACTAGGAAATTGAAAGTTGCAGTCATATTTATCTGTTTTTTCTCTCTATAATGTAAAGCCTATGCATAATTCTAGCCAACAGCCATGTATGAGAAAGTCTTACCTCTGATTTATATCTGGTGACATTGTCTGTGGCTGTCACCATTAAAAATTAAAGCTCAGCTTTCCGCTTATAATGTCTTATTGCTCATCATCATAAATTAAAATAAGGATGCATGACAGCTGAGCTGGACTCTGCAAAATAAACCCTGAATCTCTGACCAATGTGAGGAGAGTTTACTCGCACGCGATTAGTTTTAGCTCTTTTGGTCCGTTTAAAAACTTTGCAATGTGAAAGCGAACCTAACCAAAAACAAAGAGCCACATTGTAACAAATTTTAATCCCTCTTTCGGAACAAAACAGGTGTGAAAGCACCCTTAAATAATAACTTGATCTAACTTATCTTATATGTAGTGACAGTACATGTGGTCGGATTTAAGTCTGTTTACAAAGCGGCTGCTAAAAAAGTGATTTTTTGTGTGTGTGTGTGTGTGTGTGTGTGTGTGTGTGTGTGTGTGTGTGTGTGTGTGTGTGTGGTGTGTGTGTGTGTGTGTGTGTGTGTGTGTGTGTGTGTGTGTGTGTGTGTGTGTGTGTGTGTGTGTGTGTGTGTGTGGTGTGTGTGTGTGTGTGTGTGTGTGTGTGTGTGTGTGTGTGTGTGTGTGTGTGTGTGTGTGTGTGTGTGTGGTGTGTGTGTGTGTGTGTGTGTGTGTGTGTGTGTGTGTGGTGTGTGTGTGTGTGTGTGTGTGTGTGTGTGTGTGTGTGTGTGTGTGTGTGTGTGTGTGTGTGTGTGTGTGTTTTGCAGGTCTGATTACTACAACCTCTCGAAAGCTGGACCGCGAACAGCAGGCTGAGCACGTTCTGGAGGTGAGACCCGCGTTCACACAAACACACATCAGGTGCCAGGCTGCGATCCATGCTCATTTACACTCCCTCCAATTTCCAGATCAATTTTGTGTGGGTCGGGAGAATAACAGCAATTTTCACCTATATAAACGCAAGATTATCGACGCAATCCTATAGACGCCTGCTTGAATTTAAAACACTTCACTAGTCTGATCTGCCAAAGAGAGAGAGAAAGTGTGTGTGTTTGTTATAAAAGCCATTTTGTCATGTTGATCTTTTGAATACAAACTTATCACTCGCGTTTTGTTGCCCGTTCACCGTGTGATCCCTTGACACCCAAACATTACACAGACCAAACGCCCATTTAATTTATTACAACCCCCCTCTTTTTTCCTTCTTTATTGCTCTCTCTCTCTCTCTCTCTTTGTCTTTCAGACGGACAGATTGAATTTGTACAGGCATAGCGCAGCAGTCTGTATCTGTGAAAGGAAATGAATAAAATGAATTGAATTAATCGTTTCAGTTGTTGCCGCCGAGATGGATGTCGCACACCGTGGCTTTTGTTTTTAATGACATCATTGAAATGTTGTTTCACAGTTCAGCGCTGTCTTCTGATTGGCTGGTGGCCATGTGCGGCCAAGCTGATTGGTGGATGAGCAATGAGCTTGTTTGCTAATGAATGAAAAACAGATCGAATGTCAGAAACAGGAAATGAAAGGAAGCGAGAACATGATTCATCCTTACTCCATTTTACTGAGAAAAACAATCATGTTGAGGTTCTCGCTTCTCCTAGTCTGTCTATAATCTATTTTTGCCATGGTCACTAATACTATTACTGGTTGTGCAATTTGTGCTACATACATGAATAATAGCTGCGCTCATACATTTTTTATTACATCTGGGGTATTTGATTAAAGTAGATTCAATTAAGAAGATGACTGAGAATACTATTGTCTGATCAAATATATAAATGCTTATGAAAACAGTTTATTTTTTTCAGATGATGGTTTATAAACTGTAAAATCCTTTTAATTTAATGTTATTGTAATTTAATTTAGTTTAAATTCATTTTATTTAGTACAGTTTATGAAGTGAAATAATTAACTAAAATGTACAAAAGCTACAAAATTTGATATGTTATAATTATAATGAGGATGGATGGATGGATGGATGGATGGTTGGTTGGGTGGGTTTGCTGAATGGATGAATGGATGGGTGATTTTGCTGGATGGGTGGATGGATAAATGGGTGGGTTTGCTGGATGGATGGATTAATGGATGGATAGACGAATGGATGGATGGATGGATGGATGGATAGACGAATGAATGGATGCATGGATGGATGGATGGATGGATGGATGGGTGAGTTTGTTGGGTGGATGCATCGATGGATAGACAGACGGATGTATAGATGGATGGATTTGTTGGTGTATTTGCTGGCAGGATGGATGGATGGGTTTGTTGCTGGATTTGTTGGAGAAAAGGATGAATGGATGGATGGATGGATGGATGGATGGATGGTTGGGTTTGCTAGATGGATGGGTGAGTTTGATGGGTGGATGCATCGATGAATAGACAGACGGATGTATGGATGGATGGATGGATGGATGGATGGATTTGTTGGTGTGTTTGCTGGCAGGATGGATGGATGGATTTGTTGCTGGATTTTTTGGAGAAAAGGATGGATAGATGGATGGATTGATGGATGGATGGATGGGTTTGCTGGATGGATGGGTGAGTTTGTTGGGTGGATGCATCGATGGATAGACAGACGGATGTATGGATGGATGGATGGATTTGTTGGTGTATTTGCTTCCAGGATGGATGGATGGGTTTGTTACTGGATTTGTTGGAGAAAAGGATGGATGGATGGATGGATGGATGGATGGATGGATGGATGGATGGGTGGATGGATGGATGGATGGATGGATGGTTGGGTTTGCTGGATGGATGAGTGAGTTTGTTGGGTGGATGCATCGATGGATAGACAGACGGATGTATGGATGGATGGATGGATTTGTTGGTGTATTTGCTTCCAGGATGGATGGATGGGTTTGTTGCTGGATTTGTTGGAGAAAAGGATGGATGGATGGATGGATGGATGGATGGATGGATGGATGGATGGATGGATGGATGGATGGGATTGCTGGATGGATGAGTGAGTTTGTTGGGTGGATGCATCGATGAATAGACAGACGGATGTATGGATGGATGGATGGATTTGTTGGTGTATTTGCTACCAGGATGGATGGATGGGTTTGTTGCTGGATTTGTTGGAGAAAAACATGGATGGATGGATGGATGGATGGATGGATGGATGGATGGATGGATGGATGGGTTTGTTGGTGGATTTGCTGGCTGGCTGGCTGGCTGGATGGATGGATGGATGGATGGATGGATGGATGGATGGATGGATGGGTGGATGGACGGACGGATGGACGAACGGACAGGTGGATTTTTTAGATGGATGGATGAATGGACAGACTGGATGGTTGGGTTTGCTGGATAGATGTTGGATGGGTGGGTGGGTTTGTTGGATGGATGGGTGGATTTGATAGATAGATAGATAGATAGATAGATAGATAGATAGATAGATAGATAGATAGATAGATAGATAGATAGATGGATAGATGGATAGATGGATATCTGATTATTATTATTATTCGTTTTTATTATTATAATATTTTATTTGATAACATAATGTAATATTATTTTAGTTTTTAATATAAATTAAAAAATTTAATTAAATTTAAAATTTACATTCAACAGCTTTTTAAAACTATTATTTCACAAATTCTGCAGATTTTTGATCAATTGTCAGATACAAAACACAATGAATGCACATTGGAGTGCTATTATTCATATTATCAGTATCCGTATGTTCATGTGTGTTAATATTTTCATGATCATGTTATTATCCGTATGGTTCCTTGTGAGTGTGTGATCTATTTGATCATGTGTGAGTGTTATTATGTACGTAATCATGTGTGAGAGTTATTATTTATGATTATTTGTGAGTGTTATTATTGGTATGGTCATGTGTGAGTGTTATTATCCTTATGGTCATGTAAAATGTGTGTGTGTGTGTTTGTTATTGATATAGTTATATGTGGGTATTATTATTCGTATGGTCATGTGTTTGAGTGTTATTATCTGCATGGTCATGTGTGTGTGTGTTTTGTGTGCAGGTGACCGTATCAGACGGTGGTTCTTCTCCCAGACACACTACAGTATGGGTGGTGATTCAGGTGTTGGATGTAAACGATAACAAGCCCACGTTTCCAGAGAAGATGTACCAGGTGCGTTTGCCGGAGCGCAGCAGAAAACAGCGCGGAGCTCCAATATACCGTGTGTTTGCGTATGACCAGGACCAAGGAGCAAACGCAGAGCTTTCCTACAGCATCATCGACGGCAATGAGGACGGCAAGTTCATCATCGACGCCAAAACCGGAGTGGTTTCATCACCCAAAAAACAGTTCAGCGCTGGAACCTACGATATTCTCACCGTAAGTAACTTACAAACACTCCAAATTTAGATTCAATCAAATCAAATGCAAAATTATATGTTTTATGTAAAATATAAAACATGTTTTGAAAAGTTTTATAATGGGAATCAAAAATAATTGCATGCGTTAAAAAATATTATTTAAAACATTATTCTAGCAGATCCCAGTTGGCTTAGATGACTGGATATTATGATTTTAATTAAATTTTATTTTATTTCATTTCATTTAAAATTTTAATTTAATTTAATTTTAAGTTTAAATTTTAATTTAATTTAATTTAATTTAATTTAATTTAATTTAATTTAATTTAATTTAATTTAATTTAATTTAATTGAAGAACATTACTGATATTCTGTGACAATAAAATAACATGGAAATGAATATAAAATAAAATAATAATGAAATAAAACGAGAATATTTTGTTGCTAATTCAAGCTAATCTAACATTACTATTAAAACTAAATGAAATTACTTTTTTGTTCAGGTTTGTTACTATAATTGATTATAGTTTCAAACTAAAATGTATATAATAATAATAATAATATTAATAATAATAATAATAATAATAATAATAGTATAAAGTAGGCTTTTCAAGCTGATACAAGCTTACATAAAAGATATGTGAAATAAAACATAAACAATAAAATAAAATAAACAGCATAAAGGTCCAAGTTGGCCTTGATGAATAAAAATATGTAACAAAGTAAAATACAATCAAAAAATAATTTAATATAATTTACAATTTTCATTGCTGAAATTAACATTGGAAATTACAATTAAATACAATTCTACAAAATAAAATGTTTTTTCTAACTAATTTAAATAAATTTAATTGAAATTCTAACAAAAATCTTGCTAATTCAAGCTAATCTAATATTAATAATGCTATGTGAAAATAAAATTAAACTATTTTTGTTTTATTTAGGTTACTTTAAGTGATTATACTTCTGATTTTCAAATGAAAGAATAAATACGTATTAAGAACATTTTTTAGGTGATACGAGCTTACCTAAATTACATAATTATATATATTCAGGCCAACCTGGCGTTGATGAACAACACTGTTAACGTAAGTTTTGTAAATTACACAGTATTTAGATTAGATTAGATTAGATTCAACTTACTTTATTGTCATTACACATGTACAAGTACAAGGCAATGAAATGCAGTTTAGGTCTAACCAGCGGTGCAATAGCAGCAAGTGCAGGATATAGATATAAGTTATAAAGTGCAGTTATAGGAAAACTATGGTGATATTTACAGATGGATGTACTATGAACATTATATACAGGTTGTATTAACTATGAACAGAAATTTGCAATAGATGAATATATGTAAGGTTGCTATTAATAATCAGAAGTATGCAAATTGATAAGCATGATTGTAAATATAGATTTACTGTAATATAAACTGTGTTTTTATGTAGAACAGTTATGCAGTGTTACTGTAGTTTAAAGTTGCATTGTGAAAATGAAATTACAGTAAAGAAATACAATATTGTAAATGCAACTATTGAAAGATAAATGGTGATGCAAATGTAAAAACAGCTTTTTTGCTGTAATAGATTATTGGCGAGTAAGTTGTTGATGAGCTGCTGTATAAATTTTATTTTATTTTTATTTATTTTATCTATTTTTATTTTTTATATTTTTATTTTTTTATTTTAATTTTTTATTTTTATTTTATTTTAATAGTTTTATTTTATTTATTTATTTAATTTTGTTTTATTTGTTTTATTTTATTTATTTATTTATTTATTTATTTTATTTTATTTGTTTATTTTATTTGTTTTATTTTATTTGTTTTTTTTTATTTGTTTTGTTTTATTTTATTTGTTTTATTTTATTTTAATTTATTTTATTTTGTTTTATTTTATTTTATTTTATTTTATTTTATGAAATAGGGAAAAATATAGTTTTCTAGCTGTTCAAATCTGGGCTGGGGGGTTGTTAAATTTAAGTATCGGATGGAGATCACCTTAAAATGCCATGATCTTTTTCTTTCTTCCCTCTTACCGCAGTAGTATAAATGAGCCGTATATCTGATAAAAGTACAAGCAATCGTCTCACCCAATTTAACCTGAAGTGTGAACTTCTGGCTAATAATTTCCAGGTCTTGTAAAACTCCCTCCACACACACACGCGCACACACACTCAGCAGCTCACTTCCCTAATGAGGAAGCTGACATTTCAATTTTTTTTTTCTTCTTCTTGTAAAATATTTGTTCTTTTTGTTTGCGTTCAACCTAAAGGTCAATAGTGGATGCATTCCTCCAGTTCTGCTCTGATCCTCCATTTGAGTTCTGCTTTTAACTTTCACTTCTCTTTTATTGCAGATTACTCGTTGATACACTTATTTGTCGGTTGATATGTAATGAATATTTAAGCATTTTTTAACCTAAATGAGTTCTAAATCAGTGTTCATCTGTGAAGGATGTGGGTTATCAAACTGTTTCTCTTATGAGAGGTAAAATATGACCAGATAATAGCTTATTATTTTTAAATTATGATGTTTTTGAATGTAAATGTATAAATTAATTATATTAATTGCAGATTAAGTATTACATACAGATTGAAAGAACCTCATAGACTAGTACAAAATATTTTTCAAAATGGGATTTTATTTATTTATTTCATTTTTTTACTTCATTTTTAAAAATTTTTATTTATTTATTTTTTCTGTATTTCTTTATTTTTTTCATTTTATTTTATTTTTTCTTTATTCATTTTCTTTTCCGCTTAGTCCCTTTATTAATCAGGGGTCTCCAAAGCGGAATGAACTGCCAATTTATCCAGCATATGTTTTATGCAGCGGATGCTCTTCCAGCTGCAACCCAGTACTGGGAAACACTCATTCACACTCATACACCACAGCCAATTTAGTTTATTCAATTCACCCATAGCACATGTCTTTGGACTGTGGGGGAAACCGAAGCACCCGAAGGAAACCCACACCAACATGGGGAGAAAATGCAAACTCCACACAGAAATGCCAACTGACCCAGTCAGCTCTCGAAGCAGTAACCATCTTGCTGTGAGGCGACAGTGCTAACCACTGAGTCACCATGCCGCCTGTTTTATTTTATTTTATTTTATTTTATTTTATTTTATTTTATTTTATTTTATTTTATTTATTTTTTTTTTTTATTTTACTTTATTTTATTTTATTTTATATGCAAGCTTGTATCAGCTAGAAAATGTTATTTTACTTTTATATTATTTTACTTGAATTATTGTTGCTTAATTGTTTAATTTTTGTAAATCAGCAAGATAATATTTATTTACATAATTTTTTTTTTTTCATTTTAACTTATTTTTACAAAGTATCAGTGAAGTCAGACAGCTTGGATGAGTTAGTAAATAATTTGTTGTATTATTTTATTTTATTTTCCACATAAATATCCATCTTCTATGCAAGTTTGGATCCGCAGGAAAACTTTATTTAACTTGATATTATTTAGCTATTATTAATATTTTTGTTTGTTTGTTTATTTGGATCAGTGAGATAACTTAAATATTTTTAAGTTTAATTGTATTTTACAATTTGCATTTTATTTAATATTGTTTCAGTAATGTTGAACACCTTAAATGAGCTATTAAATAATGTAATGTATATAATTTCATTTTGTTGTATTTTATTTTGGTTTTACAGTTGCATTTTATTTTATTTTTTATACTTTTTTTCAATAATTAAATTTATTTTTAATTTAATTTAATTTAAATTTTTAATTTTTTATTATTATTTTTTTATTTACTTTTATTTATTTTTATTTTATTTTATTTTATTTTAATTTACATAGCTACCCCTCCTCTATGCAAGCTTGGATCAGCTAGAATTATTTATTATTATTATTATTATTATTATTATTATTATTGCTGTTGTTGTATTACGTATTATGAGTAAGGTCAGACAACTTGTTCGAGTTATTAAATTGTATATTGTTTTATTTAATTCAATTAAATTTTATCTTTTTTGTCCAGTCAAAAACTAAAAACTAATATTTAAAAAAATAAATAAATAATTGAGGGAAAATATAAACAGAGAAAGAAAAACAAATATGTAATTTTTACCCTTTGCTTGTGTCTGCAATCTCTGATCCTCTGTTCTCTGTTTGCACAGGTGAAGGCGGTGGACAACGGGCGTCCTCAGCGCTGGGCGACAGCACGTCTGCACATTGAGTGGATCCGCCGTCCTCCGCCAAACCCCATTCCACTAGCTTTCGATGAGCCGCTCTACAACTTTACCATCATGGAAACCGACAGAGTGGCGGACATCGTAGGAGTGGTGTCTGCCCAGCAACAAGGCTCCGCTTCACTGTGGTTCGACATCACAGGTCAGTGATTGGGTGCTTTGAGATCATGTGATGTTTATTGCGATTTAGAATACTTTAAAGGAGTCATGAACTTAGGAGACCATTCATTTAATACATACGAGGTTATTATAAGCTAGATTGCAAACAACATGTGCAATTTAAACTATCGCATGAGAAATTGGAGTATTGGAAACACCAAATTTCGAATAAATTCGGGAATAATTCGCGAAAAAAAAATTCATAGTTGTTTTTGGTTGCTAGGTTACCAATAGTTAGCTTCTCTAATGAAAAGGATTAATGTGGATAACGCATTAGCTGAATAAACACTGACGAAGTGAGCATTACATCCATGCAACCAATCAGCTGTTTCCGTTATGCTTGCCTTGTTGGTTGTTGGTTGCTAAGTTACCAATACTACAGTTAGCCTCTCTAACAGAAATTGGTCAATGTGGACACTTTCAATGTGAACATTACACCCAAATGATCAATCAGCTGTCTATATTATGCTAGCCTTGTTTTTACTGTTGGTTGCTAGGTTACCAATACTACAGTTAGCCTCTCTAATGACCACGGGTTAATGTAGACAATGCATTTGCCAAATAAACACTGATGTAGGTAAAATTACACCCAAGTGACTCAGCTGTCTCCATTATGCCTGCCTTGTTGACGCTTGGTTGCTAGGTTACCAATACTACAGTTAGCCTCTCTAATTGAAAGGCTTAATGTGAATAACGCATTGCCGAATAAACACCGATGTAGTGAACATTACATCCATCCGACCTATCAACTGTGTTTATTACACTTGCTTTGTTTAGTGTTGGTTGCTAGGTTACCAATACTACAGTTAGCTTCTCAAATGAAAGCGGGTTAATGTAGATAATGCATTTTCCAAATAAACACTGATGTAAAGAACATTACACCCAAGTGACCAATCAGCTGTCTCTTTTATGCTTGCCTAGTTGGCTGTTGGTTGCTAGGTTACCAATACTACAGTTAGCCTCTCTAACAAAAATGGTTAATGTGGACAACGCCTATGCCACGTAAACATTGTACACGCTATGTATTATTGCATGTAGTCTCTGACTCTACAGAAGATTGCTGCCCACTTTTACATCACTGGCTAGCTCTGCCTACTTATTCACACATGGAGTTGGTAATACAAGATAGACACAAACGCAGGTCTACACAGAAACAAATCTTTATTTTTAACGAATTTGGGATGTTTTTGTAGGAATTTAGTTCTTTGTTAATTTAAAACTTGAACTAATTTACAAGCAAAACACAATTTAATGCTGGATTTGCTGAAAATGAACTTAAGCTTTTAACATATAACATAAGAGTTAATCCTGTATGTTTTTTGAACATCCAGAATTCAAAATGTTCCTGTTAGTCTAAAATCAGCTATTAAAACCAATCTAAAAAAACAGCAAGTCAATTTATTATGTAAAAGTGTGTCTAAACCCCGCCTCTACAGAAGGTCGACGCCCACAAATGTTGAAAATTCCGATGCATAAGAAATTGGCCCTCTGTTAACTTCAATTAAAAAAAGAAAAAAAAACTAAACTTTCATTGATTTTACATTTGAGGCAGAGAAAAACAGTTCTGCCTTTTAAAAATGTGCAAAACTGTTAGCCAATCATAGCAGTTGGTGTTTACTTCAGAGTTGACAATTTACCATGTCTATTCAAATGCTTTGTTCTGATGAGGGTCATAGGAGAAAAATAACCTGTCATTTCTAAATATATATTTTTTACCTCAGAAAACAGTAAAAATACTGTTCATGACTCCTTTAAATAAGTATATTTTATCACTCATGATTGAAATGTAAGAATAAATGCTGCATTTTCAGAAATATTATAATGCATTTATGTTTTAAAATGATTTTTATACTTTTTTTAAGTATTGGTCTAGTTAAATGCAACTACTAGGAGAGTTAGAGCTGGTTGGGAGTGTTTGTGGTTCACTGCATGATTTGTGGCATTGTACTGCTATCTTTTGCCATTTCACGATTGCTTGTTGCTGTCTGTATCTATGGTGACCCAAGGTTTGTATGCACAAAACAACTAATGATAAACAGTTTATTCATTTACAGTACGACAATAAATATGTAGTTATATTATATTATATTATATTATATTATTTTATATTATTTTATTTTATTTTATTATATAATTATATTATATTATATTATATTATATTATATTATATTATATTATATTATATTATATTATATTATAATATATTATATTATTTTATTATATAATTTTATTATATTATATTATATTATATTATATTATATTATATTATATTATATATTACATATTATATTACATATTATATTATATATATATTATTATTTTATATCATATATATTATTATATTATATAATTTTTATATATTATATTATATTATATTATATTATATTATATTATATTATATTATATTATATTATATTACTCTCAAATTGTTAGATAGTCGTCTTAGTAATTCTTATGAATAAAACTTAAAATTGAAAAAGGTAAAAGCTAGTTTAAACTACGAAACATCTTTTTCCGCCATGGGATAAGAAAAATAAAAAGGCAATTGCATCTTTTTTTATCTCATAATTCCAGCTTTTTTCGGAGTGTGACCTCATTTCTTATCGTTATATGTCTATTTATTAGATATTCTTAATATCAACTTTAAACAATTCTGACTTTATTGCTCACAATTCAGACCCTTTTTTTCTTCCTTTATTTCTGACATATTATAATTGATTATACTATATTTACTTAGAATTGCAACTTTATGTCTTGCAATTTGCAAGTTGATAGATTTTTTAACAGTCTTTACATTTTCATAATTGCAACCTTTTTCTCTTGGAATTGCAAGCTTGTCTGTTTATTTGCAGTTTTTATTGCAGTCTTTTTATTGAAGAATTGCCCCTTTGCTTCTCTCTGTTTGCAGTTTTGAGGCATTTTTAGTGTCTCATGTTTGTTTAAACATCTCAATTCTGACTTGTTTCTCAGAGCTACGCCTTTGGGATTTGCGCGGGATTTAACTCTCATTTGAAAGATGATCATTCTAAATCACAAGATTAAAACTGGCTAAATCATGAAATATATAAACAAAGAATGAGAAAAAGGAGCAATTGCTTGTTTTTCGGTCTCACTTTATATTAAGTAACCCTAACTAGTATACACTTACATCAGAATATAAATACAATGTGCTTACTGTGTTCATAATGTATTGCAGAACACTTTTAGTGCTCTTAAGGTGGGATACGGGTTGGGTTTGGTAGTATGGGTTGTTTTTTGCAGTGCATGCTGGTATTTATTCAAGCATAAGGCAAGGCAAGTTTATTTATATAGCATATTTCATACACAATAGTAATTTCAAAGTGCTTTTACATAAACAAGAATAAAAGAAACAAGAAATTAAAAACAGATTAAAACATAATAAAATGCATTAAAACAGGTTTTAAAGTAATGAAAAAGAAAAGAAGACATAATAGTACGATCTGTCAGACAATGTAATTACATAAAAAAAACAAGTATCTACACAATAAGTACATTGTATTGAATTATTAGTTTCAGTTTAAGCACTTAAGGCCACTTAATATAAAGTGAGAGCCTTTGTTTTTCTCTCCTTATTTTCGTATTCTGTGGCGGATGATGATGTTAGCAGTAATGTGTGCCGTCCTGCAGTCAGATGTTGGGCAGTGGGAGAGTCAGACTGCAGCCTGCATGCCGTGTGGTGTTCAGATACCTTCTGTTTGCTTCAGCAGCACCTGCACTGCACTCTTTCGCTGCTCGGTTTCTCCTTCTCTTTCTCTTTTCTCTTCATTTCTCTGATCTCTCGACTCCTCTATTCTTTCCCTCTGTTGTTCTCTCTCTCTCTCTCCTCCATCCTCTCTGACTCTCTCTGTTTCCCTAAATGCTTCATATGGGAAGGTCCACGCTCTTTCCGTGAGATGTTCTATATACTCCAGACTGCTTGCGGCAGGAACTGTTCTACAGAAGGTATCTTTACCAGTTCAGCCGAACTATTATTTTCTCTTTTCTTTCTCTCAACTCTTTTCTGTCACTTTTTCTTTCTGTGGTTGGTTTCTTATTTCTTCTGTTTTTTTTTATTATTGTTTTTTTTCCCTCTCTTTCTCGTCTGTATGTCCAGGGCTCGACGCTAAGGATTTTTGTTGACTATTTGAACTGCAAACACTACTTTAATACAATATACATATACTGTTGAAGTCAGAATTATTAGCCCCCCTGAATTATTAGCCGCCCTGTTTATTTTTTTTTCCCCAATATCTGTTTAACGGAGAGCAGATTTCTTCAGCACATTCCTAAACATAATAGTTTCAATAACTCATTTCTGATAACTGATTTATTTTATCTTTGTCATGATGACAGTAAATAATATTTCTCTAGATATTTTTTTAAGACACTTCTATACAGCTTAAAGTGACATTTCGAGGCTTATTTAAGTTAATTAGGTTAACTAAGCAGGTTTAGGCAAGTTATTGTATAACGATGGTTTGTTCTGTAAACTTTCTGATCTGACGCTAATAATTTTGACCTTAAAATGATGTTTTAAAAAATTTAAAACTGCTTTTATTCTAACCGAAATAAAGCAAATAAGACTTAAATGATTTAAATTCAACAAACGGATCATCAAAATAAAGTGTGACCAAATAATTTAGTCGACAGCAAAGTGAACATCTCTCTTTTCAGGTTTTTTGGGCTGCTGTCACTTTAAGACCTCATGCACAGAACTAATATACTGATGCACATGTGCTTTCACTTACTCTCTTTCAGTTAGTTTTTTCACTTAATTTCACATCTCTTTCCCAATTTAAGAGAACACTGAAGGGTATTTAAACCCTTTCTGAAACTCTTTTTATACTCACAGAAAACCTAGAAGTGCATTTAATCTTTTTTTTTATCTTATCGCACTTAATTTGACTTAACATGGCTTAAAAACACGTGCGAGTGATAAACTTTAGTAACCCTCTCAGACATTGCGAGTGTTGAGTTTAGCTTTCTTATCATGATTGAATGAACCAAAATCTCATGAATGTCTACAATGGCTTAAGAAGGCTTAAAAACAGCTGCAAATTATAAACTTGTGTGACTCTTGTCACTTATTTTATCAACTTTCTTGCTGACTACAATCATTTCTCCTTACTGTTGAGCCCTAATGTCTGTTTTTATCTTGACCTTTCTTTCTCTTTTCCACCTGTCTTTGTTTTCTATTCGTCTTTCTGTTCTCTAGCTGTCTTTCGTACTCTATTTCTGTCCACGCTGGTAACACTTTACTTGAAGTGGTTTTCATAAGGCTATCTTGACACCTTTATAATCTAGATATGATACGACAAAAATGTGACAACTTAATAACAACTGTCATTAAGTTATTTAATTTAAATGCAAAAGTAACAATGGTTGAGATGTATTTGTTACGATAACTTAATATAAACACATCATAGTTTGTCTTCGTCATGACAACTTTACACAACCAACATGTCATAAATCAGTCATAAACATGATTGTCATGATGCCATTATAATTGTGTCATGAATATTTTTCTGATCTCCTTTTTTTGGTGGAGCAAACTAAATTTGTTTAAAAATGATTAAAAGATTAAAAATGTGAAATAATTTTATAACATTGTCAGTGATAATTAATAAGATCTAATGACATTTTTCTGACACATTTCATTCACACCACTAAAGCTGAAGTCAAGAAAAATGTTAATGACACTGACATAATTTTCATGACAATTATAATGCCTCATGATAATCATGTTTATGACAGGTTTATGACAAGTTATGGTGTCTTCACAAAAAAATGCTTGTCTTTCTTTTGTCTTGTTTCTAGTCAAAGTATCTAAATGTTCTTAAATCAAGAAGCATTTTCTAGAAAATTATAGTGCCTCATGATAATCATGTTTATGACAGAAGTGTGACAAGTTATGGTGTCTTCACAAAAAAAAATGCTTGTCTTACTTTCTTTTGTCTTGTTTTTAGTCAAAGTATCTAAATGTTCCTAAATCAAGAAGAATTTTCTTGAAAAGCAACAAATATTGTCTTATTTTAAGAAATAATACAGCAAAATTAAGTGATTTGTTTTCCTTAAAACAAACAAAATAATCTGCTAAAGTAATCTTATTTCAAAATGAAAAACAATATTATTTAGCTTGTTTTATTAAAAGACTAACTTAATTTTGGCATATTATTTCTGAAAACAAGACTATATTTTTGGCTTGTGATACTTTATTTAAAGGTGAGATCCACAATAATATCGTTTTTAAACTTTAGTTGATGTGCAATGTAGCTGTGTGAACATAAACAACATCTCTGAAAATACTCAAAGTTCAATGCAAAGGGAGACATTGGCTTTTACAGAGTAAGCTTAGCAAAGCCTACAGCGAACAAAGTTTGGGGACAACAAAAAAATACATCCGGGCTAGTGAGATCACAAACGCTTCAGGTTATATGCATTCACCTCACGCCTACACTGCGTAGCGAAGGGGCATGCCCAAAGACGCTTTAATGTTATAGCAGAGAAAGCTAAAATGACATGCAAACACAGCTGTTTCCACAGAGCTTCTTTTGTTTCTGTATTTGGGCTTTCAAAGGACACAACATAAAGAGAGAAGTGCTTACAATTTAATTTAATTTATGTTCCAGAGAATTATAAAAAATATATATAGAGCTAGCATTTGACAAAGGACAGCTTCCAGAATCTCTCCCGGTTTAGTGCTGAATTCGGCTAAAACCTCCTCCAACTGATGAAGCTGTGGCTTGTGAGCCCCAACCTGTGTTTTTATTTGTTAAAATTGATCAACTACATGCACAGTTTCTAGCGTTAATAGTATGTTGAAGCGAGGATGTAAACAATGAGAAATGCTGTTTGGCGCCGCTAACAATATAGCTACAAATTCATATTTATCTGTCAAACCGTTGTGTCTCTCTATGAGGCCACTTTCAGTGTCTCTCCATGCAGACGCTTTCCCTTCATTATATATGTGAAGTTTATTCATAAACAAATTTTGAGAGGATCACTTGCTTATGCAGGACACGGCTGGCCCCGAGTCAAGCTAATGTACGGACCACCAATCAGACGATGCCTAACCCAGTATAAATAACCAAGCATCTTACCTTTAGTCATCTTCGTCTTGAAGAATCCCCCCTTCCACCCCTTCTCCTCCTCTTTTCTCTACAGGGAAGCACGGCGGCCCAGTGGCTAGCACTGTGGCCTCACAGAAAGAATGCCTCTGGCTCTGGTCTCTACCCAGCCGGACACCATTTCCGTGTGGAGTTCATGTTCTCCCCGTGCTCGCGTGGGATTTCCCCGGGTCCTTCAGTTTCCTCCCACAATCCAAAAACATGAGACTTAAGTTACTGACTAAACCAAATTAGCACCATATTCAATTTTTCCAACAACACACCACCTTAACAATCCTTAAGCAGCAGGAGGGGGGGGGGATTCTCGAGACCTACCCGAGCTCAAACTCCCCTTTGCCCTGCAACTTGAGGGAGCCCCGGGCTCAAGGATCTCTTGAGCTCAGGGCTCTCTCCTGGGACAGCATGCCAAACTAGCTGAATACCAATCATCAGCTGAGTGTGAACTCTTGAAATATATATATATTTTTCTATCTCAAATAACGAACTCATAGAAGATGTGAAAGTTTTATATTACCTACACAAACTTATTCCGAATATATGTGAAAGACTCCTGTCAGATTTTATTTTAAAGAGCAAGCGTGAGGTTCCACCGTGTGAATGACATAATCACAGCATATTATGTTAGCTGACCAATCAGAGTTTCTTGAGGGCGGGCCTTTCAGAGGAACTAGGAGAAAATGACAGTCAAGGAAGGAGGAATGTCTTCAAAGGAAGACATATGAACAAAAAATAAGGTGATTTTCTACAAATGAATCATGAGCACACCCTGCTTTGCATCAATACACCATGGACCTCCCCCCGTTTAGGAATTTTGGTATATTTGAACTGGAACCAAGACAAAACCTCTAAGCGTTAAAAGCATTTTTGATGTCGTTCTCCTGACAGAGACAGGTTGTGATGTATTGGGTTATGTCAAGTTGTCATAACAAAGACATCTCAAACAACGTCAACTGTTATATATTTATATTTAAAATGGACGAATGACACTTGATGACAGTTTTCATAAAACATCATTCATATTCATGCCATGTGTCATGTCAAGATTATAATGGTGTCTTATGAACACCTCTTAAAGAAGTAAAGTGTTACTCCGATCCCTTTCTTTCTATGCTTTTTGTCTGTCTTTTGTGTCTGCGTGTCTCTTTCTTTCTTCTACTGTCTTTTATTCTCTTTTTGTCTCTATATCTTTCTTTAAATATTGATCTAAATGGACATAAGTTCAGCAGAACTGCTCTTGCTCTGTTGCTGTTTAACCATCAGCTGCCTCTGCTTCTTCATCTTTTGGTGTTGTGCTGTATTGCTTTAACGTGATTGGTTGGGATGGGAATCTGGGGGTGTGTCTTTCCGTACAAATGTATTATAAATGTGTGTGCAGTTATTAATGTATGCATGTGTGTGTGCTGCTGCTGCTTAGTGATGATGATAATGGTTTATTTGGTACTTCCATCCATGTGTGTGTGTGTTTATGATCTACCTAAATGCCTTCTGGCGATCATTGACCCAGCCTTATCATCCACGGCCCGATTAAATGCGTCATTAAGCAGCCAATGGAGCGTGGCTTAAGGTCAGGGGTCAGCTTGGGGTCAGCTGGTTAGGCGCGAGGGTGGACGCTGATGAATGAAAGGTGTGTGTTTGCGTGTGTAAGTCTATCTGTCCACCAGGTGTTGCAGCAACAGGCGGCATGAGATGATTAATGTGCGCTGTGTAGAGCGAGTGTGTGTGTGAACGCGTGTGAAGAGGGAGCAGAACGGCCTGCCAAAACACACTTTCACCTCTGTTCACACACGCAGGGGTTCGAACACACTCCTGCTGCAGCTTGAACTACATCTTAAAGTGATGCATGACCTCTAAAGGACTGTTCTGTCATCATTTACTCACCCTCGTATTGTCTCAAACCTGATTTTTTGAAAAATAAATATATAATTAAAATAATTAAGAGAAATATTAATGATATACTAATATATTAAATACTTGCAAAAATATATATTGTAAAAAATATATTTTTTGCATATTTAACAATACATAGATGTAAAAATGAAGCTATTTTAATTAAATAAAAAATAGTTATTATTTATATTAAATATTATCTCAACATTTGAGGTGAATAAAAAAAATAGCAAAATGTTTACTGAACAAAACCGGTATTTTTAAAATAAACTAAAATATAACTATATTTATTTAATAAAATGGTTTATTTATCATTAATTTTTAACTGTAGAAAAACAATATTTTAATTCATTAAAATGACATTAAGTTTACAATCGAAATGAAATTTTACTTTAAAAGAGCATCCATCATATATATATAAATATACTCAAATGCCACTTTATTAGGTACACCTTACTAGTACCGGGTTGGACCTCATTTTGCCTTCAGAACTGCCTTAATCCTTCGTAACACAGATTCAACAGCGTACTGGAAATATTCCTCTTTATCAGAACAAACAAACACATGTGAAGCATTACAAAGCATTTTCTCTGTTTTTCGTGCCATGTTTTAATCCTTGCCTTGTTTACCGTTATTATTGTTTTACCTCATGTCCTGTTTCTAATTCTGTGTCTAATAAATGTTTTGTTAACGTTTGTCTGTTTTATTTTTTTTCAATTGAGCTGTTTGTTTGTTCTGATAATGTATCATTATTTCTTTCTAAAAGAGTTTTCGGAAATGTGTACTGAACAAAAACAATATTTTTTAAAATAAACTAAAATATAAATATGTTTATTTATAAAATGGTGTATTTATTATTACTTTTTAATTGTACAATGACAATATTTTAATTAATTAAAATGACATTAACTTAAAAATCTAAATGACTCCTTTGCGCCATAGGTTCAACAAGGTACTGTAAATATTCCTTAGAGATTTTGATCCATATTGAAATGATAGCATCACACAGTTGCTGCAGATTTGTCGGCTGCACATCCATGATGCGAATCTTCCGTTCTACCACATCCCAAAGGTGCTTTATTGGATTGAGATATGGTGGAGGTCATTTGAGTACAGTGAAGGCATTGTCATGTTCAAGAAACCAGTCTGAGATGATTCATTTTCTATTACATGGAGCGTTATCCTGCTGGAATTAGCCATCAGAAGATGGGTACATTGTGGTCATAAAGTGATGGACATGGTCAGCTCGAACCAGTCTGGCCATTCTCCTCTGACCTCTGCCATAAACAAGGCGTTGCACCCACAGAACTGCTACTCACTGTATATTTTCTCTTTTTTTGAAAATTCTCTGTAAATCCTAGAAATGATTGTGCGTGAAAATGCCAGTAGATCAGCAGCTTCTGAAATACTCAGACCAGCCCGTCTGGCATCAACAACCATGCCACATTCAAATACTCTTAAATAACTATTCTTCCCCATTCTGATGCTCAGTTTGAACTGCAGAAGATCGTCTTGACCATGTCTATATGCCTAAGTGCATTGAGTTGCTGCCATGTGATTGGCTGATTAGAAATTTGCGTTAACAAGCAGTTAGACAGGTGTACCTAATAAAGTGGCCGGTGAGTGTGTATATATATATATATATATATATGTGTGTGTGTGTGTATACACACAATTCAAATTATGAGCAATTAATTCATTAATCAATTAATATATATAAATAAATATATATATATATATATATATATATATATATATATATATATATATATATATATATATATATATATATATATATATATATATAATTTTTTATGTAAAAATATAAACTTAAGTGTATATATAGTAAATATAGATTTAAATCATCCTTAGTTATTTAATCATAATTAATATAGTTTTGGGAACAAAGTATAAAATTGCATATTACGTATAACTGATCTAAATTTGCAAAAATAAGAAATATAATCAAAAGTAATGCTTGATTGTGAGTGTGAGTGTTATTCAAATGAATACCAAATTACCTATTGAAAGAAAATATTCATCAAGATAGATATTTTTATACACAACATATATAGACACACATACACCTGTTTGCGCATTCATGAATGTGTGTGTGTGCAAGTGTGTATGAATATTTACGCCGCTTTACAGTAGCACAAACACACACATGTATATGTTACATATGCGGGTGTACCCATCTGCACCTACTGTGTGATTGTTATTCATGTGTGTGTGTGTTTGTATGTGTGTGCATTTATGTGTGTGTGCATGTTTATCTATTTGTCTGTCTCTGTACACAATTATCTTTATGTGTGTGTGTGTGTGTGTACATGTACACATTTATCTTTTTGTGGATGTGAGTGCGTTTATTGGTGTACATGTTTATCTTTTTGCGTGTGTGTGTGCGTGGACATTTACCTGTGCGTGTACATGTGTATCTGTTTGTGTGTGTGCTCATTTATCTGTGTGTACACTATTATCTTTTTGCGTGTGTATGTGTGCGCACATGTTTATGTGTGTACACATTGATATCTATATGTGTGTTGTGTGTGCACGGTTATATGTGTGTGTACATATTTATCTTTATGTGTGTGCGTGTGGGTGTGTGCATACCTGTGCGTGCATTTATCTGTGTGTACAAGTTGTGTGGGGGTGTTACACATTGGATAAGTGCTTGTTGTGTGTGTGCATTGAATATGTGGGGTGTGTATAATGTGTTTTCTATATTGGGATGTTGTATGTTGTAGGTTGTGTGTATTTTGATCGTTTGTCTGCATTTTACGTATTGTACTTGTGTACAGTGTGTGTGTATTTGTGTTTTATACATGGGATATGTGTGCTGTGTGTGCATTGCAGACATGGTGAGTGTGGTGTGTATTTGAGTGGTGTGTGTGTGTGTGTGTGGGGGGGGGGGGGGGGGGTTTGGTGTGTGGATATATTGAGGAAATCCCTTCCCTCTTGAAAACACTGTATCGCCCCCATCTGGTGTACTCAAGTACTGCAGCTCAGTGATTTTGATTGTGTGTTATATCTATTTGTTTATGTGTGTGTGTGTGTGTGTGTGTGTTAGAGATGTATGTGTACGCTATTGAGAGTTCTTGTGTGTAATGGTGTTTTCTGTCTGGGTGTAAGGCGGAGATGTGGACAGTATGTTTGACGTTGAGAAAGGTGTGGGCACCATCGTCATCGCTAAGCCTCTGGACGCCGAGCAGAGATCCTTTTACAACCTGACGCTGGAGGTTACAGACGGCACTAATGTGGCAAACACTCAGGTAAATATCTTTATTGAAGAATTAAATATTAATATAATATATATGTGTGTATTTAATATATACATGTGTACTCAAATGACATTTGCTGTTCAATCTACTTATTTAAAATGAGCTGGGACAACTTAATTGTCTTATGTTCAGTCAACTTAAATTTGGAAACACTAATAAGTCAACTTAATTTCTTCAGGTTGTCTCAACACAGATGGATTGTGTTGAAGCCAGCATTTTTTACAGCATGTGTATGTGCTTGTGTTAATTATCAGAAACATTTTTCTCCACACCTGTTTTGAATATATACTTGGAGTTACATTGCAATGTTTAAGTGTTGCCTTAATTTTTTAGGCAGTATATTTTATATCAATAGAAATATTATGTAATATATTTATGTTTATAATATATATGCAGTTTATATTATTATGTAAAATTATATTTCAATATATATTATGTATATTTGTGTATTTGTTTAGATTAAATGTAAACAATTGGTTATCTCATTAATGTTTATGTAACATTTCCTTCTGTACACAAATATTGTACATTTATATTATGTAATAATATTACTAATTATTATTAATATAAATATATAACTGTTTTAGATGTATATAAAATGTATTGACATATTTAAATGTATTATTTAGATTAATTATATTAATATAAATTCATCTTTACATTATATTATATTATTTTATATTATATTATATTATATTATATTTTATTTTATTTTATTTTATTTTATTTTATTATATTATATTATATTATATTATATTATATTATATTTTATTTTATTTTATTTTATTATATTATATTATATTACATTATATTATTATATTATATTATATTATATTATATTATATTATATTATATTATATTATATTATATTATATTATATTATTATATTATCTTATCATATTATTATATTATATTATATTATATTATATTATATTATATTATATTATATTATATTATATTATTATATTTATTATATTTATTATATTATATTATATATAACACTATAAAATTTTACACCCTTTCATCGCACCATTTCTTTTTTTAAGTCACAGTGTGATGTTCAGACCCCACTGCGTTAACCGCGTCAGCTTAACTCAATTTTTTTTCTTTTGTTATTAATTCTGGAGGACAAACTTGCAAATAACACAGTTTTTCTCCAGTCTACCTCCGAAAGCAGCACCTCCAAATCACATTCTGTTCAAAGTTTCTCTTTTTACTTGTTTTGCCATTACTTTTTCATTTGGTTTTGCCAAAGAAAAGTCATTATCATATTTATTATGGAGAGGAGGCAGGGAGGGGTTTGGCGCTCGTGCATGTGCGCTCATTTTTACGTTAATTCGGATGTACAAAGAGAATGCGTACGCAGTATTTCATCCATCTGATTTTTTTGCTGCGTACACACATTTACAGCTTTGTGCGAACGCAATGTTTTAGTATGAATTCAACGCAAGTCGCAAGACCCCAGATTCTGGGTTTCAACCCTGCAGTTAAAGCACATCCTATTTGTTACATTATAAATCCATTGTGTTGGTGTATAGAGCCAAAAATGTTAGAATTGTGTTGATGTGCCAACATTTATGGACCTGACTGTATAAGTCAGTACAAAAGACCAAAAAAAGGTACAGTAAATACATGAAATAAAAAAAGTAAAAACAGCCCTTTCAAATATATTCCACAAAATATATTCCAAAGTTGCACCAAAAAACGCACTAAAACATACGCCATTCCTACACAGCCTTGCTTTTGTGATTTGGGATTCTTAGATTTTGTCCAGGCATTATCTTAAAAGGAGACCTAATATTCCCTCCTGTCCCCTGGAGCAGCTTTTGTTGGCTTTCAGGCCCGTTTGATGCCTAGCAGTGTCCATGGAGGAATCTAAGAGCAGACTTTCCAGTGTTTGTGCTCCTGACAGCTGCTGTTCGGTGGATGATTGATGCTGATGTTTGATGCTGAGGGTTTGATTGATAATGTCTGTCATCGTCATCATCCCCGATTGCCATACAGGCTCCCATCGGATTGATAGCTTCGTTATCATGGACACAGGCCTTCGCAGTGTAATGTGTCTGCGAAGGTCAGAGATTAAAGGACACGATCCGTCCTCAACAGGAAAAAATGTGGGAGAGTGAGGTGACAAATGAGTGATCCGTCTGTTTGTCTAAAGCCTGATGCACACTGTGCACGTTTTAATAATCCTAAACGATTGTAGCAGGTCAGACTGCATGAACATGGCTCCCAAGATCTCAGCTGTCATACTGAACGGCTTTAAAGAGATGCCAAATATGGACACGCAAGAAAACTCACCTGGAGTTTGATATCAAACATCTGTGACACTTTCACTATGTACTGTTCTGAAGTTTTTACCTCAAGGCAAACGTAAACAAACAGTTGCAGCCTGTCATGACTGGGTCAGTGACCACCTGAGGGCGCTGTAGTTCATCGGACACTAGTTGAAACTACAGTGCCCAAAAAGATTACGGGTGCTTTCACACCTGTGAATCGATTCAGTTGTTCAGAGATTACAAATGTTACATTGTTGCTCTTTGCTCTTGGAGCGGTTTGCTTTCACACGGCAAAGTTTCTAATCGGACCCAAAGAGCTTAAACAAGTCACATGCGAGTAAACTCTCCTTACATTGGTCATAGTGTCAGGGTTTATTTTGCAGCGTCCCGCTAAGCTGTCAGGAGAGGTGGTGGTTTGGTGGTGGTTGACAGGGTCCGCGTGAGACGTGTCTGAGAAGAGACGCAGTGGGGAGGGGTGAGAAGGGTGCGCGAAGATGCCTATTTAAGGACCGGGAGGGAGACGCGAGATTACCGGGAGATCATCACTCGTTTGCGGGCATCCAGAGACACGCGAAACTTCCCGCCCTACTCATAATTCTCTCTTCATATAGCCGTAAGCCTATTACATATCCATAAAACACTGTGATATAACCGCGCTCGTATCAGATCGCTTTCTCAATCGAATCTGCAATCAGGCTTCGTTTCAATCGAGCCAAGACCACCTCATTCAAGCGATCTCGGAGCGATTACTTTGGCGTGGAACAGAGCGCGATTGCCCTGTTCACATATGCCAAACGAACCGCTCTAACTGGGCAAACGAGATACGTTCCGAAACAAAAGTGTAGGTGTGAAGCACCCTACAACTTCATACATACCTCGCGCAGACACCGGAACACATACACTGATTCTATTCACAGCTGTCTCCGTTTCTGTTGATTATCTGGAGTATATATTCCATCATTCCACCTCTGCTTGCCATCGCGTCGTTGTCTTCCTTGTCCGAGTATCCAGTAAGTCTAGTATTCCGAGTTTGTTTTTCTGATCTTGTTCTTGTATTTTGCCTTAGTCTAGTTCGTGTGTTATTTGTCTCGTCTGTTTTCTAGTTAAGTTTAGTTGTTTGAGTTTGTTATTCCTGAGCCTCGTCTCTGATTTAGTTTCTGGTTTTGTCGTTTATTTGGTACTTTGTATTCTGATCACCTTGTTTGTTGCACTGTAAATAAATAATCTGCGCTTGGATCCGCACCTTTTTGTTTCTTCACAGCCCTGCTGAAAAACCTAGGTTGGTTGGCTGGTTTTAGCTGGTCGACCAGCCTGGTTTTAGAGGGGTTTTGGCCATTTCCTGGCTGGTTTCCAGCCATTTCCAGCCTGGTCTTAGCTGGTCAGGCTGGAAAATGACCAGCTAAATTCAGCTAAGACCAGTCTGACCATCCTGGTTTAAGCTGGATATCTTGTTATCCAGTCTGACCAGCCTGGTTTAAGCTGGACATGGCTGGTTTTGGCTGGGCTCCCAGCATAGCTAGGCTGGTCAAGCTGGTTTTAGGTCATCTCCGGATCACTGTTTTCTCACAGCAAGATGGTCACTGGTTCTAGTCCCGGCTGGGTCATTTGGCATTTCTGTGTGGAGTTTGCATGTTCTCCCCGTGTTGGTGTGGGTTTGCTCGGGGTGCTCTGGTTTCCGCCACAGTCTAAAGACAGGCACTATAGGTGAATTGAATAAACTAAATTGGCCAGTGTAAGAATGTTTGTGTATGGATGTTTCCCAGTACTGAGTTGTGACTGGAAGGGCATCCGCAGCATAAAACATATGCTGGATAAGTTGTCGGTTCATTCCGCTGTGGCAACCCCTGATGAATAAAGGGACTAAGCTAAAGGAAAATGAATCAATAAATGCACTATTAAGATACAAACGTTCACCTTTAACAAAGGCACCACCCCGTGACAGGTCTTGTACCTTTATTTCTGAGATTCTATAAACTCGAAAAATAAAAAGTTTTGACATTTACTCGAGCTGTTTTTAATTCGTTGCACTAATTTCACCATAGAATTCTCCTCTCCTGTTTGTTCTTTATTTGACACTCGTCAAAGCTGAAGTTTATCTGTTCATATAGTTGAGAAAACTCTCTTGAGAGATATTTTTGAGCACTGTTTAGTCGAGCAATGCATTAAAGTCCATGTGAAATCAAAATTTAAAATGTTTATTTTGCTAGCTATTGTTATTCTTTAGGTCAACAACTAATCTATGCATTCATTCATTCAATTTCCTTCAGCTTAGTCCTTTTATTAACCAGGGGTCGCCACAGCGGAATGAACCGCCAACTTATCCAATTCACCTTGTAGACCATTTTGATAGGTGTATCCAAAAGCAATGGTCCCTACTTATTTTCTGTTTATATTTTTAATTTCTGTAGCTTCCGAGAATCCAAAAAGAGCCACATATTGATGAGTAATGTTATGACAGCTGTTTTAACGTTAAATTATGATTGGATTGCTACTTGTTATAGTTTGATAACAAGCAGGAAATGTTCATGGGCCAATGAATTGACCACATTGAAATGCTCTATAGCGCATGTGTTTGGACTGTGGGGTAAACCAGAGCACCCGAGGAAACCCACGCCAACACTGGGAGAACATGCTGACTCCAGACAGAAATGCCAACTAACCAAAGAGGGCCTTGAACCAGTGACCGTCTTGCTATGTGGCGACAGTGCTAAC